AGGTGCAGGGGTGCGTGCGGGGCGTTTTGCGATATTTTGCGGGTGTGTTGAAACTCGTTGTGACTTGGATTGGCTCATCCTGGTTTCATGTCCGCGTGCCCTGCTCGGCAGGTGACGACGGGTGCCGGGGGCGACCTCCAGCAGGTGGAGCGCATGGCCCGGGCAATGGTCACCCAGTTTGGCATGTCCGAGGTCGGCTCCCTCGCAATCGATGACGGCGGCTTCACGGGCCCCGACTACTCGGAGGAGCTCAGCGAGAAGATCGACCAGGCCATCAAGAACATCTCGGATGATTGCTACCTCAACGCACTGAACATCCTGATGACCAACCGTGCGTGCCTGGATCGTGTGGCCGACGAGCTGACAGAGCTGGAGACCATGACCGGCGATCGCCTTCGGGAGATTATCGCCGAGTACGCGGAGATCCCTGCCAAGCTCGCGGCTGTTTGAGAGCTCTCTGCTGGCCACGGTTTGTGCATGCCGACGGTGGGAATTCGGACTAGCGGCGGGGCTATTTAAGGTTGCCCCGGGACATCTCAGTCGCACTGAGAGCTGGCATTTCGGGATGTCAAACTAATAGTCGCCTGACAACCTGAATATAATTCGTCTTTGAGCTGCAGGCTTACATGCTCCGTCCAGAACAGAATATCCTGTGCAGCAGTTTCTGGATGGGGCCAACTTGCAACGCGGACCAAAAAGGTCGTAGTTGCAGGCGATCTTCATCGACTCTGATAAATTTTCTGACCCGCTGTACAGCCCAAGAGGTCCCAATGGTTTTGATGCCGCGTTTCAACGCTTTTCGGCGGAGGGTCCACCGAACTCTGCCTCCAGGGCATAGCAGAGTCGGCAAGGTAGTCGAAGCGTGAGGGCCTCGCGATCGGTTGACCCTTGTTGCCAGCACAGGATGCCACAGGCGCATTGCGTTCTGCAAGACACTAATCTTCCCCTCTCGCACACCGCAGCGCGCGACAAAAGTCTACACTGCCTTCGTCTTTGGAGCCGTCGGTTCGCGGCTGCTGATGCTCAGGCTCGGCGGAGTCTAAACCCAGAAACCTCGGAACCAGCTCGAATCCCAAGTTCCCTTCGCTTGGTGACCGATACTCATCATGTGCAGAAATCGGCTGTGATTCGGAGGAGGCTCAAGGTTCAGCTAATGCTTGGAAATTGAGGGTTTCGGGTCTGACACATCAACACAGGGTTCAGGTTTATTTGCAGCTGCCTAGAACTGGCATCCCCCCCTTGCAGCTTCAAAACTCACCTGGGTCCAGGCGTCTTCGCGAAGGT